CCCGCCACCTCCCCCCGGTTTCTCATTCCTGCCACTAGCGCGCTCGGCGGCTCATTCCGCGGCCGCCGCCAGCCGAGGGGAGCGTCGCTAGCAGAAGCCGCGGGGGCCGCTCGCAGCCGCCGCCGACTTGTGAATGGGACCCGGACTCGGGCCGGGGCTGACACCGCTGCGCTCGCCCTGCGCCAGGGACCGACGGCCGGAGCTCGCGCCCACCCTCCAGGGCCCCAGGTGAGGCGCGCCGCCGGTCCCTTACTCTCCCCTGGATGGGGCTTCTTGGGGGGGTGGGTCTCTGGGTGAGAATGTCTTGGGGGGGTAGGTCTGACTGGAGAAGCTTTCACTAATGCAAAGCAGGAACGGGGGGAGGGCGGAGGTACGAGATTTGTTTAAAAATCAGAAAGGGAGAAGGGAGCCAGCTGTGGGCGCGGGCAGCGCAGGGGGCAGAGGCGCCAGATGTGCGCTCCAACCTCTCTTGCCGCTCCGGCCTCGTCTGGGGTCTGCGCCGAGGCCGCGGGAGAGGGGTTTGCACTCGGCTGGGGCAATAAGATGCAGAGCTGCGCTCCGGACACGCCGCCTGCCCCCGGTCAGGTCTCGGGGGAAAGTCGCCCCCGGCGCGGTGCCCACCCTCCCGCCCGCGCTGCGCCTCTTTCCGAAAGCAGCGACATGACCGCGCTCTGCAGGGTCCCTACCCTTCCTCCCTGATCCCCCCGAGCGCTCCCCGGGGCTCTGCCCTCCATTCGAGCGCGCCAGGGAAGCCCCGGGAAACGGAAGGAACCCAGCTGAGGTGGGCGATTCCCCCGCACTTTAATAGCTTGGGTCTGGTCCGCTGACTGCGGCTCTGGGCGGCCGACTGCGGTGCGCGCTCCAGCTCTCCAGCCGGAGGCTCCTCGGGAGCTCCGGGGGCCGTTCGTCGGCTCCCGCCAGCCCAAGGGGAGATCCGCGAGCGGCTCCGACTCCGGCTCGGCTCCGGCTTGGGCTTGGCGAAGCCTGCCAGGGTCAACGTTAACTTTGCGAACCGAGCCTTCCCCGAAGCCTGCGCCTCCTCCCGGAGCGCGCCAAGCCTCTCCAGCTCCCGGTACGCAAGGCCTCCCTCCCTCAGCTTTGCCCCGGAACGCGAGCCGGGGGTGGGATGCGCGGGGAAGCCCGCAGGATGGGGAGGGTGGCGAGGAGAGCACTCCTTTCCCCCTCAACCCGGGCAGAGCTGTGGGAGGGCCCGCCTCGCGCTGTGAAGAAAAGAGTCCCCAGAGAAAGTGGGGTCGGGGAGGCCCCCGGGTCGCGCTTCCTTATCCCTTTCTTGCCAAGGCCCTGCTTTCGCCCCGGGGCTCTCACACCCCTCCCTCTCCCGGGTGAAAGGTTTTCAAGATGCTAGAAAAAGCCCTGTTGCTTTTGCTGATAATGCAGCAGGAATTTCACGGGCCATCGCACTGCTATTAAGAAATTGCAGCTTTTAATTATTTAATAATGCCATCCCTGCATGACGACCGGTCGTCCCTAAGGGGTGGGGGTGGAGGGTTGTTCCTGAAACCCGGCTGCATGAGGCTATAGATCTGCCTAAAGTCTTCCCTCCAGTTTCCCCCTAAAGAAATCTTGTTCAGATGGCTCTGAAATCTTTCCTTGTTTTCCTCTTCCGATCCTTCCCATGGCTTTAATATGAGGCAGGGAGTAAGTTTTCGGTTTAATCACAGGGAAGCCACGATAATTAATCTGGCAAGAGGATGGATCAATTTCTTTATCGCTTGGGCTTGCAGCGGACATCGATGGTTCTGCGGGGTGTCTGGATTTCCCGGGGATGGGGAGATAGAAGTGTTCTCAGGAGCGAGGATCCACCAGCATCGCATTGGCACATTTACCACGCTGCTCTGAGCGCTAGAGCCTTACGCGATGGGAAAGGAGAAGAGAAGGGGCTGACCTTCGTTTCCTTAATCCTGGAATTATTTTTCCTACAAATATGGAGATGCAGACATCAGAACCCAGAAGTAGTCACTGCCCAACCCCAGCTGCAGGGAGCCTGGTATTCTTCCCGTAGAACAAAGGAATAAAAGTTGCAAAACAAAGGGGCAGAGTTGTGGCCAAAGCCAGACGGGCCCTGAAGCCCCTGGTCCCTAAAGTTCATTAATCCTGAGCTCTGATTCGGAGTCTTCGAGTTGGCCAGTGGGCCCTGGAATTCGAACCTCTGTGCAAAACTGAAATCCTGCCTAGTACAAAGGAACGTGAGTAGTTTTCAAGAATAGACCAGGGAAAGGCATCTGAGAGGCCAGGAAACTTTGCTTGAGTGAGAATTGTCTTTACATCTTGCTTTTGAAGCATTACAAATTAATGCATTAAAAATGTGTTGCAGCCATACTTCTATTATTAATAATAATTACTATTGTCATTATTTTCCTTGTTGTTCAGAGTCTACATAAACTGGTCATTTTATTACATTGTTTGGGGAAAAAAAATCACCTTCCCCATTCCTGGGGGAGGGGAAATGAAGAGCTGCATTGAAAGGACTGTGTAGGCCCAGACTGTAGATTTACTCAAATTGGGCTTATTGCTTACTAGAAAAATAGGCTTTTAAAATAGTTCTCATTGAAGCAGGGGACCATCTTGATAGCACTTCAGAACTTTCCTTATGTTCAGAATTCTTATCAGAACACCAGACAGTAAACTTACTGGAAACCTAAGTTCTATTTTCAATTAAGATGCAATCTTTTGTTAATTTGACAATTTTTTTTTTTTTTGAATTACGGCTCTATGTTTTTATGACTGAGAACTCATGTTTCCTCTTTGCCGTGGTGGCTGTGGATGTGTATGTTTGTTTATTCGGGCAAGGGTGTGTGTGGGGGGCAGGGCTGGAGAGCCATGCCATGATTTGGGGGATACAGATCAATTTCATGCTCCTTTAATGCATTTGTCTTCATAATTCATGGTTTTTCTTCCACTTTGAATAGAATTACATGGCTGCCTTGTAAAGATTCTGGTTTGGGGACCCTCGTATGGGAAACGCCATGCCTTTGACTCGAGGCTTGATTTACAATGCCAGAGCGACACTCCCATGAGCATAGCGGGTCTTGGAACCTTGCCTGTGAATATCTGTGACTTATGAAGTTCACAGTTCATGTAAACTTTAATCTGTGATATTCACATCTATTTTCAGAACCATCTAAACGAGATCTGCAAATCTGATTTTAGTCTTCCCTCAATTGTCGACACATTTATATAGGCAGATGTTCAAGAAACATAATCATTTTGTTTACGTTGATTTTCAATATTTTTTTCACTTTGATCATAGACATACCCAATAATTAAATAATAATGATAAAACAGTGGTCGATAGAGTTTGAAAGTAGGTAGCAAACCTTTTTCTCGAACCGTCAAGTTTGTGGAATGACTATGAATTGCAAAGTTTTTTTTCCTAGAAAAATCTGTGCATTGTGTAAATTCACCAGCGAATGATTTAAGGGATTGAAGTGCATTTGGGATGCTCTTTCCCCCTAATGAAATTGGTCATGGGTTCATAAAAAGTTACCTGATTTGTCAAGAACCTTCATTTTGGATTTACCCAGCATTGTGAGTTGTCAGCCTTTCTAATGCAAAGTTATTGCCCCTGAAATATGTAAAGATCTTTGGTCCATATAAATGTGTGATTTAAGGGACCAGGAGAAAATCATCAACAAGTCCAGTAAAAAGAAAAAAAAAAACTAAAGCTGGAGAAAGTTGGACAAATTCTGGTGCACCAGTAGGAGTGAGAATCAGCTTTTCCATTAGGATAACTGTGATAGCCATCCACAGCCTCCTTTATGGGCAGGAAGGACTAAAGCAAACACTCAAGGAGGATAATTAGACACATTTCTGCTATAATTTTACCCTGACATTGAGAGCCTTGTGCATCTCTGGAAATGGGCTTCTTCGCGGAAGATTGCACTTCTGGCCACTAGAGGGCAATGGCACCCTTCTCCAACTTTCTGCATGGGCCCCATCTGCTTTTGAGGGCACCATGAAAAGCGGTTTTGTTACCACCAGCCTTGCCTGGCCCTCTCAGGAGAGACCGAATTCAATCTAGCTGTAGTTCAGGCTACCGCATGAGCAGTTTGTCAGGATTAACATCTTTCTAGTCGGTGGATCCCGTTACCTGCAGCCTCTTCCCACCTTGGAGTTTTCTAGAAAGTTGGAAAATCTTGTCACTTAAGATCGCCTGAGCAGGAGATGGGTAGGGGGTGGGCTGTATGATAAACAAGGTCCGTTCTCACTGAGGCAGTGATCTGGGAGGATTTTCTGGCTCTTTTTTTTTTTTTTCCGGCCAGAAAGAGCGTCATTTCAGACTCCGAGGGGAAGGGAATGAATAAAAAAGAAGAGAAATATTAGTGAGACGGCTGTGATATCATCGCCTCTTCTTTCAAGACGTTTTGAAAACGCCTGTAAGACATTTCTAATTTGCAAAAGATAATAGCAGTTTGATCTTTGGTAAACACTTTTGGGCATGGCGTTTTAATACAACAGTAAATGTTTTACTATTATCTTTAAACCATTCTTGATATTGCTGTATAAATCCTAACTTTAGCAGAGAGTAAAATTTAATTCAAGATTGGTCCTCATGCACTGGAGTTTAATCATTTGACTTTTTTTTTTCCTCCTCAGTGATATGGAAATTACTGCTTATGATTAAATTGCATATTTCAGGCTGTACAAATTTATATTTGTTACTGTTTGATAGTGTCATTATGAAAGTTCTGAAGAAGAATGAAAAAAAACCCTGATGCTATATTATAATTAAGAGGAAAACTCTATTAAAAAAATAAGTACTGTCTTAAGTGGATTCTTATTTGTATCTTTTTTTTTTTTTTTAACTGAGTATGATTGCCTCCGTGGTGAATCAGCAGTGGTGTTCTTTGCAGCTCTGTGTGTGTTGGAAGGCATAGACAGTTGATGATGAAGGAATCAATGCAAATGGATTATGAGAAGGAGTATTAAGTAACTCAGTGGAAAGTAAGACAAAGTGTTTTGTAAACTGATGCTCACTTACCACCGGACAGTTTATTTAACTTAGAAAAAGAAGGCACGTTTAAATTCTAAGTGCTTGTGAATAATGCACGTTTGTATGAACTGGAGGCAAAAATTCATTGTTATTTGGTTTAATTAGTTGTCAGACAGTTGCTGAATTCTGGGATTCTTATTGAGATAAAGCACTGTTCTCATCATCTGTATGGTCAAAGTTTCTGCTCAGGCAGAGAATCTGGTGCACCAGGGTA